TCCTTAAGTATTCCTGCTCGATTTTCGCTAGCTTTAGCATTTTCCCTTTGCGTGTAGCTGCCGCCACGGCTGTGACGGGACCTATGGGCCACAAAGCTGCTAGGTTCCGGTCTTAGCGGTCGAGCAATGACCCGGCCTTGCTAGACCGGCGAGGACCCATACTCATAAGCATCCTGCCCATGGATTTGGACACACAAGCACCGTGTCCATACATTTTGAGTGATTGCTTTTGTCTGACTGAATTAGCAGCCAATGACACACTGGCTCCACCCCGTTAGTCTTGACTGATGGACTGAGACATTCTGCTGTAAAGTCTAATTGTTTGAATGCTGTAAAGCCAGCTTTCCTCCATTTAAACCCCTTTAAAAAGGCACCTGTGGCCAACAGACAGCTGAAATGTTCTCTTCACATCTGCTAGAACATTTGTGGTAGGCACACAAGATTTCACACACATGACCACCAAAGCCTTCTGCCGCTCACGCTCTTTGAATTTTTCAAATCGGTGCTGTACGTTTTGAATGGTGATGAGAAGTTTGACAGGTCCAATTTCACTTCTGAAGGACAGATTTAAAGGCTTCTCTCATTAACAAGAATACAACTGCAGGCCTCCAACAGCTGGGGAAAAGGCGGGAAAACAGGGCTTCTCTCTGATTGGTTGAGAGTGTTCAACCATTTTCTGTCCAAGCAGGATCGAGCACCCACACATATGATACATCAAATCGACCAGCTTGGTCTCAGGAATCTTGTATTAAATTTTAAATGCGTTATCTGTTACCATGGTAACACAACAACATAAGGATATCCCCAAACAAGTCTCATTGAAATCAATGTGAAAAGCTTAATATCAAGCCTATAACATACTGCCGTTTCTTATCTTTCTGAGCTCTATACACTTAAAACTAGCAACATAGCTGACATTTTAACACTAGTCAGAAGGCAGGAACCGCCCTCTCCTCCTTCGCTGCTCTCTCATTGGCTGAGAGTTTTCAATCATCTTCTGCCTAAAAGGAAACATGCACCCACACATATGATACATCAATTAAACCTGCTTGGTCCCAGGAGTCTTGTATTAACTTGATATTGTGTTCTGCGTTACCATGGCAACGTGCTTAGCAACAACCTTTAACAACATTTTAGACACAACTGTATCAACATACTTTAATATAGAAATGTTATTCAAAAGCAAGCCCCCACAATGCGGCTCAAAAATTGAAGCAATCCCGGAAGTACCAAAAATTGCAGTTCCACCCTCATCCGCTGGGGGCTGGTGTCAGAAGCGAGCAAATCCTCATTGACTCCCATGTTAAAAATACCAATTTCACAGCAGAAATAAACATGTTTACAGCCTGGTACCAAAACATGTTTTTGGTTTAAATTATCTAGTTTACACTAGTATTGTCAAAAAAATCAACACCTAGATATAAATCGATACTGAAAGTGGTACCTAAATTAGATATTCCATCCCTGTGGTATCGATATTATGGAGTCTCACATATACACAGCCTTCTTCAAGTACACCGACACGCACGACAGCTAGATGCCGTAAAGCAGCCTCCGCCTCCTGGACAAACAGAAGAAGACGATGCCGCATGGCTACATTGCAATTTCCTGCACGAGTTGTCTCTGATCCAAGTTTAGTTAACAATGGCAACAGCAAATTCGGGAGGCGCTTCACAGCCCAACTTAATCGACAACACAAAGCGCAAAAGTGCAGTGTGGAAACACTTTAGATACAAGGCTGATGAGTCGGGGAAAGCAACAGACCATGACACACCCGTTTGCAAGGAGTGCTACAAAGAGATCGCTACGAAGTCAAGCAGCACAACTAATTTGGCCAAGCATCTGAGAGACCGACACCCCAAACTGCATGATGAAATGAAACAGGTGTCTAAAATTTATTAAATCTAGTAAGAATGTGTCTAATTGCACCAACAAATTTGAGCTCACGTATTAGTATTAGCTAAGCTAGCATACCAAGTCCAACACGTAGTTGTATATTCTCGCTTATGTGCTTAAAGGAAAACTCCCGTTTATTGCAACACAGACTTAATTTCTAGCATGCAGTACGTTTGTTTACTCACGCTGACAACTTTGGTGCTACTTGGATTCCCCGGGGTATTTCGATCCATTGGCGAATCGCCATCAGTGTATATCCATATAACGGGTGTGGACGGGCACCCATGGTACAGCCTCGAAATAAGACATCATCTGCCGGCTGGTTCTCCCCTCCCCGCAGCTCGGCGCATCTCTGTCTGATCACGGCTTCTGTCTGCTGTGTGGGCTGCCGGCTTGTGGAGCTCTGGATGGAAACCGATGTTTTCCACCCGGTTCTCCCCTCCCCGCAGCTCGGCGCATCTCTGTCTGATCGTGGCTTCAGTCTGCTGCGTGGGCTGCTGGCTTGTGGAGCTCTCGGATGGAAACCGATGTTTTCCACCCGGTTCTCCCCAGCGGCAGCTCTGCACATGTCAGATCGCAGCGGCGCTTGTCTGCTGTGCGGCTG